CATATGACCCAACGGCCGGCATGTTGTGAGAAGGAAAACTTCTATAAAACTAAAACCTGCGATTGTTTCATCATCTGACAATATATGGCACATACTGAACTAGTACAGGACATGGTGCGATGATGGAGTGAGTGTGCATGGCAGGGTACAGGAAAATGACCACTTTAAATAATTAATTTATGCAGGTTGTTCAGTAAAAAAGCAAAAGAAAATACACTGAGCACTCAGACACCGTTTTCGACGGTTGTATTCATATAGGCCTGTCTGAAAAGTAATGAGACTGGGTGTGCTATGTGAGTTCTGACCGAAAGAGGGATAAGCGGATTGTATTATCATCTAACATAATATCTTGGAAGTATATAACTGTAATCTTAGTTTTTCGCAACCATTTCATTTTTTTCACATGCTTTTGAGGCAGGACAAGTAGTGACGACTTCAACATGGCAATGCATTTGCTCACACCGCCCTGAGCATCCTACAGTCCCTGGCCGAGAAAAAACATCGTCGTACTGAAAAAAAAAACCTTTCCCACCTAATTCCCTGGTCTTGCTCAGTATGACATTTTTCTTTTCCCCAAGCTTAAGGGGATGACTAAGGGGATCCGTTTTGAAGGCGTGCGGGCCATTAAGAAGGCCGTAACAAACGGAGCTGAGGGCATACTAGAAGAATCCTTCCAGCAGTGCATAGAAGCGTGGCAGAGATGGATGGAAAACTGAGAGGGATTACTTTGAAGAGGAAACCATGTAGCTTGTTGTTTGTAATTGAAATAAATTGTTTCTTACTTTTCAGAAAAAACTCGTACGCACACACACATACACACACACATATATATATATATATTTTCTCTTCCATATTTCATTTCTGATGAAGCTTAGATAAAAGTGAAACATATTAAAGGTAGTGTGTGTGTGTGTGTGTGTGTGTGTGTGTGTGTGTGTGTGTGTGTGTGCATGCGTGTTTTTATGTTGGGAAAAGGATTAGATTATAATGAAAAAAAGAAACTAGATGAAATCGGGTAGCCTATATACCACTATGTGCTTTATTTTTTAAGGACGTGAGTGATTATAGCTCTCCACAATGTCCTGTCCCTCGTATCTCTAACCAATGTTTGTCTCTTTACTATCTCTCTTTGTCCCTGCCCTACCACCCATTGTCACAGACCTTTTATGATTAATTTTTCGTTTCAATCGAAGCTACTTTACTCAATACGATCTGTGAGTATTAAATTTTCCAAGCCGTCCTTTCTTACGTGTCCTGTATCTTTCTACTATTTCTTTCTGATTTTAAGTATGGGTGTCTTTCTAGTTCGCGTTTTCTTTGCAACTTCCTCATCACTCGCATGTTCTGTCCATTGTATTCTCAGTATCTACAGACGAAAAATCACTTCTCTGTCGTTTCGAGCAACTTCTTCAATAGTAAGGAAATTTACATGAATCACTGCTATATAGGCGGTACATATTACACAACAGTTTGGCAACGTTTCTTGGGGAATATACTTAAGTCGTACTACATTACTTAGCTTCTCGAAGACCACTTTCGTTGTTGCCAGCCGCATTCGGGTCTCTCAGTCACATTTCTTTACCTGATTGAATCTCAGGCCTCCAATTCGAAGTTCATTGCTACCATCTCTAGCACTGATTGTAGTTCTCCTCCATAATCAGAAGATGGTAGATGACGTATCACCTGATAAAAACAAATAAATAAAATTAACTATATATTATAAAAAATAAACATTCTAATTTTCTTGTCACTTATAATAAATACCGCCAAAAATCCAGCGTTAATAATAATAAAAAAACAATGAACAAAAACAATATGAATGTTTATATCCAGGAAGAGATTGTATATCTACTAATAATTATTAGTAATTATTATAATACCAATAGATACTTTATACATTGATACAACTCCCAACTATCATGTCAAGTAACATGCCACTTATCGAATAGTAAGTCATTAAAAATCTATATTACTAATCAACTTTGCAAAAAAAGGAAATCGGGTATCAAAACATATATTTATTAACTGCAAAATAGATCACAAATATCAGAAGCTACGATTATAACAACCGACATTATATATATATATATATATATATATATATATTATAAATTAATTGATTTAAAATATGTTTTTTTTCGCTACACAGTTCCAACCATGTTTCAAAAATAGAAGCTAATTCGCTTGAAGATGAAATGGAACTAATGCTTTTAATTTAATTTCAAAAATTAAATTCAGGTTTTTAGCTTCTATTTTTTGAAACATGGTTGGAACTGTGTAGCGAAAAAAACATATTTTAAATCAATTAATTATAATATTAATGCTCTGTAAATTTACATTGAGCACTATTTTGTAAAAAAAAAAAAATATCTATAAGAACACCAGATTTTATATCTTACTGTTCTTTTCTTTTATTTATATATATATATATTTTTATATATATATATATATATATATATATATATATATATATATATTGAAAAAAAAATTGAAACATTTATTTACTGTAAATTAATATTCGTTTTTGAATGATGTTTCTTCCAGCTACTCAATATATATATTGGGGAAATTAATATATAAAAATATATATCTGAATAAATAAACAAATTATGTAAATAATAAACAAATTAACAAACTACAAATGCACACATCAACACAATAAATGTTATATTATATTACATCGAATACTGTTATCATTACCACATACATATATCTGGTAGAAACTCCTATTGTGAACGATAAATGAGGGTCAGCATTGGATGGTGCCTTTCGTTTTACACTTATGCTTGCTAGCAGGGGCTCTTGTGGAGAAAATCAGGTAAGGGAAAGACATATTTCATTTGTGCTTTCTTAAGTATGATAAAGGGGCTATATACCTCCTTAATAACTTTGAAAGATTTATAATTATCTCTGACTCAAGATTGAGACACGGTACCAAATATAATTAAAATCCAAGAATAGCAGCTAATTACCACAGAACCAGAAATCCGTAATCTACTTAAAGCTGAATCTATAAAAGATAGACATAAAAAAAAGGAAAAATTCATCTAAACTCCTAAATAAATCACTAAAGATTGTTGCAAAAGAATTATGCAAGCATCCTGAAATAGTAATTAAGAAAGCTAATAAAGGAAACTTTTTTGGTGTTGACTACAACTCAAAAATTGAACAGTTATTTGGCGATCACACCAAATTTAGAAAACTGACTAATAATCCTACTACTCAGCTAAGAGTGAAAATTAATAAATTAATCACAGCTAACAATGCGGAACAAGACAATCTAAAATTTACCAAAATAATTGGAGACTATAAACCAAGATACATTTATGGTTCTATCCAAACGCACAAACCTAACTTTCAACTTCACCTTATTATATCCTAAATTTCCATTCCTATCTACGAACTAACTAAAACGCTTAACCAATTAAATATACTGTGCATACTTAAAAAATATTGCATTCAACACTTGAACTTATACAAATATTTGAAACCGGAAAACCTAATAATGAACCCATAGTATCACTTGACGTTGAAAATTTGTTCACTAATGTTCCAGTTAGAGAAACCATCGACATTATTATTAAAGATATATATAATAATTCATCTCTCCCTCCCCCATTAAAAATTAAACCTAAAATAGTAAGAATATTAATTTAATGTCTACCACTAAAGTCCTATTCTATGATCACAGAAATAACGCATATTTGAAACATAATGGCATTTCTGTGGGTTCAGTTCTGCATTCAACCTTCAGCAACTTCTACATAGCCACCCAAAATAATATATTTAGCACCACCAATAAACCCTACATCGACCGAAGTTATGTACGATGATATCCTTTTTTTAGTTAAAAGCATAGAACAAATACAGGGCTTCCAAAAGAACTTAACAAATACTCAGGACCTCAAGTTCATATACGAATTTAACAAAGATAACGAAATCTCTTTCCTTGACATTTTAATAGACACAAATAATAACACATTTACTACTTCTCCATATAAAAAAACAACCAGCAAAAACTCTTGAACTCTCAACTATAAGAATGAATGTTGTAATTACTACAAAATAGTACTTATACAGAATTTAATTAACCGAGCACAAATTAATTCCTTCACAAAAAAGATTTTCCACAGTAAACTAAAAGATATTAAGCAGACTCTCATTAATAATGACTTCCCAAACCACATTGTAGATGAACAAATAAAACGATTTATTAAAAATATCAGCACACGACAATTAGAACATGGTACTTCCTCAAAGGATCCTAAATATATTAAACTCTTTATTGTAACCAGATGAATGCTAACTACAAACAGGATTAGAAAATCATAAAAAACCTGATTCGTACCAATATATCCCCGATAGATCCTAATAAGAAATAAAATTAATCATATATTAAGATACAACAATTTAATTATTCGCAATAACTCCTCTCCACTAATTGATGTATTACATAAAACCAACATTATATATCAATTCAGGTGTCCCTTGAGAGGATGTATCTCCGACATAAAAACTAAATATATATATGTTGGATATCCAACAATATTATCAAGACATCTTACTCTACACATGTCTGACCATTCGTCCATTGTTAGACATTTACACCAACATTCTTGATCACATTCACAGTATAGGAAATACTGATTGATAAGACAAATATTCTACACCAAAAAATAAAATAATAAAACTACAGATCCTCGAAGGAATCTAATTGAATTTGACTACTGAAAGAGATGGAAAGTTCTTGGGAAATAAAAATGGTTTTCCCTGTTACAGTGCATGTCTTGTATCATTGGTTGTAATACACGGAAAAAATATTCGTGAATATAAAACGATTATGCTAAAAATAAACAGAAATAATGTTTGTAATATACATATATGTGTGTGTGTGTGTGTGTAAATTATTTTAATTTCCAAACAGTTAGCACATTGTGGACGTGCCCATAATTGATATTATTGATTAGGGGTTTAGCAAATGGGGTCTGGAACCAACTGGCATGTGTCTCTCTCGCAAACAGCAATTCGAGCTGTCTGGTTCTTTCTTCCCCGTGTCTCGTCTAACTCATCTGTATTTATGGACCCTCTCGTATGCGCGAGGTGGGGACGTGGATTTGTGATGGACAGGAAATTGATTGCCTGACTAAATTGCCTGACAAAATTTGGGGAAGATTCCTCCCACGAAGAGTGCTGGTGGCAGAATATAGTTCCATCTCGCGTGGATGCCTCCCACCATCACCGCCTGAAGGGTTCAGGAAATTCTATCCGTTTTCTTTGTGGGGTCGGCTGCCTCTGGGATTCGTTACCTGTCGCTTCTCCTCGCCAGCTTTTTGATCAACAAGTGGCAAAAAGAGAAAATTGCTCTAAATAAATTTTATCGCGTCTTTGGCAGAAAAGGAAAAAATATAACTACAACGCCATTCCAGTTTTTACAAGTTCTATCAACTGACCGAATTTTTGCTAGAGACTTGCTGTTAGCCTCCGTTTATCTCGTCGGCTCTTAACTCACCGGTCATTAAAATATAATCCATTCATCCACGCGGGGTCGATTGGACACTTAAGAAAATACCAACATTTAACATCAACTTAACCAAAATCAGATGGTGCTTATGCAAGCTTCTCACCACACACGGTTGTATAAGAAAAAGGAAACAAATATCATCTCTCTCTATTCTCCTTCTCGTTCTTATCAGTTAACTTTCAGTTTATCGAAATCAGCCTTTATCTTGATTTCCAGTTTATACTTTAAAAGCATTTTTTCAGTTTACCAGCGCCTTCTTAATAATGTCACGGGACATTCGGAATCCTCCACACCGGTATGCGGTGTACATGTCCAGGCCGGCAGAGCCGTCGCTGGTTGAGAAGGGTGTTGAGGCTGGTTATATATAATCTATTAAGATGGTCAGTAGAAAAAAAAAACTGGGAATTTTCCAGAAGCTATTACCGATTCAACCGAATTTCTTTGCACGGATTGGAAAGAAAGTGGTAATTTCTATTTAGAAACAATTGAATTGATGGGAGAAAATAGAAAAAGTAGTTATTTCTGACATTTAGGCTTCGTTTCAAATCTCTTGTCGATAATATCCGTGGGCATATCTAGATACAGACAATCTCCCCATCACAACAAACATATATATATATATATATATATATATATATATATATATATATATATATATATATATATCAATGGCGCAGCCATTGATATCCGAGGATGCCAGTCTATCAAGGCGGCTAGCTAATTCCAATTACAGACGCCTGCTCAGGGACATTGGTGTTTTGTTTAACACCCCCAGAGTTCACCTGTAGTTTATACTGCAACTATGCTGATCGGACCTTAGTTACAGTTTCTGGGAGCGAAGCGTGTTATCCAGAGTGGTCAACAGTCTGAGAAGGCTAGCACACTTAAACTCTTGATCACGATGACTTGTGACTTAGTGTTAGCACAATCACCGACGGCTTCCAAGTGTTCCGTCTACCCATTTTCACTCACAATGCCTGAGTCAGCGTGTGATATGGTTTGCAAGCACTTTCCAAATGTGATTCAAACACGGGTCTCATGGTCAGAAAGCGTACGTTCTAACCCCTCGGTCACGTGATATATATATATATATATATATATATAGGGGGGGATACGTTTAAGCAATAAGGATTCAATTAACCTGTGCAAATTTCATGTTTTTCTTCCTGTTTTGTTTGATTACTAACACAGACATTATTAAAGACTAAATGTTATCAGTGAAGTAAACAAAAATTTGACTACATCCTGGTATTTTCTTTAGAAATGCTAGAATTCACTTTATGTATATGCATATCGTGCAAGTTAAATAATGCCTTCAACGGTTTTCACGGGGCGTGACTGGTTCGGAAAATGAAACTATTAAATATTTTGGAAGTATAATAATTCTTATTGTACAATACATTTATTTATTTTATTTCTCCGTTGAAAGATATTTGATTTCATACTGATTGTTTCTTATGTATGATAATAGCTTCCAGTATTTAGAGATTTTCACACAGCTTAATATTGGTGATCAGAGGAGAACCAGCTCCTGCTAGATTTGAATATAAGATGCTTTCAGGGATAGAAGCATAGAAGCTTTGCCATGCTGACCTCCAACACACACACACACACACACACCTATATATATATATATATATATATATATATATATATATATACAGGTTGCGATGGATAAATTGTTGTCTAAATGACGGAAAAAAGGACAATAACACTAAAGTATCATTTTAACAATTTTACTTACCAAAATTATACAAAAGTATAATGAAATATGAACGAGTAAATTTATTCAATAAAATTGCCATTCGCTTCAAACACGATCTCCAGAAGACTTCGCTGTATCCTCAAACTCCTCTGGATTGACTCCTTGTTTAAGTTGATGAACGATCCCATAATCCTTGCCTTCAGTTCATCTTTGGTGTTACAAGTAGCATTGTTGTTCAATCGATATCATTAAACACTCCCGTAAATCACTACTATTCCACGATAAAGACACATGGATAAAGAAAGAAGGGATCTTTGACACTACAATGGGAAGCTTTGACGGTGTGTTTGCGAAATCATAGGTATATATTTACAACATGAACTAAGCGAAATAATAGATAAAAATGATACAGGACTCTACAGGGACGAGGCCTCATAATCTTAAGAAACTACAACAAACAAAACACATACAAATCTAGAAAAGCAATAAGAAGGATTTTTTAAAATAATGAATTTTACATAGATATAAAAACTAACATGAACGAAGTAGATTTTCTTGATGTTACCTTCAAGCTAAGAAAAAGCACATATAAATGATAGAGAAAACCTAATGATAAACCAATGTACATACACACATCCTCCAATCACCTCGCTTCGATAATCAAACAGATATCAAAATCGATTAACCGCAGGCTCTCCGACAATTCTTTCAATAAAACCATATTTAACGAAGCTAAGAAAGACAACGAAACACTCCTAATAGATGTGGATTCCGGGCAACACTCACATACCACAGAGCACAAGAAAGGCCAACAGGAAAGGAAATATCATATATACCACCGTACAGCAAAAACGCAATAACAAACGTAGGTAAAATATTCTTCAAATTCCTAAACAAACACTTCCCGGAATCAAGCACTCTACACAAAATATTCAATAAAAACACTGTAAAAATCAGCTACAGTTGCACCGAGAAAATGGCATAAATAATACAAAACGCACAACAGGAAAACTAGCAACAAACCACCCGAACAAAATAAACCCACATGTAACTGTAGAATAAAGAATGAATCTCCCTTAAACGGTAGTGGCTTACAAAACAACGTAATATACCAAGCCACGGTAAAAACACCAGATAATGAAGAAAAAGTATACATAGGAGTAACTGAAGGACCCTGGAAACAAAGAAACTATGCACACAAATAGTAAATACGCAAACAGTACAACGCTTTTCAAGTACATCTGGAAAAAACAAATCACACCAAAAATATAATGGAAAATAAGGAAAAGATCATCAGACTACAACAATCAATCAAAAACTTGCAAACTTTGCTTGGAGTAAAAAATAGCTATTACCTCCCCAGACCAAAATAAATTAGTAAATAAACGATCTGAGCTCAATATGCAGACGTGAAAACACATTTTTACTACGTTACTTAAAATTCGAAAACGGAAATGAATAAACACAAATAAACAAAATAATATAAAAAAAAACAAGTAAAATAAATTAATCCAAATAAATAATAAACAAATTAACAAACCACTCCCGTTATAATAGCCGAAATAGAATAAAAAACAAAATACATAAAAAAACAAGTAAAAACAATCAACCTAAGTAAATATAGTAATAATAAACAATTAAATAATAATAAACAAATTAACAGACCAATCCCAACAAAATAACCATCACAATAGATGACAAAAACGTAAAAATGCTATATATCGATAAAAAAAAACATCACTAGATTACTCAAAAATCGAAAATCAAATAAAAATATAGAAAATAAAAAAATAAGTAAACAAATAAAAAACTAATAAAAGGTAATCCAAATAAATAAAATAACAAATAACAAATCGCCGCGGCTAAAATAACCGTTAGAAATAATAAAAATAAGCATAAATAAGGAAAAACAAGTAAAAATAATCAATCCAAATAAATAAATTGAAACTGTTCACCCACCAAAATAACAGAATGGAATACGGCCAGCAATCTAAACATTAGACGAATAAGTAGCTTTAATGATCTTCCCAGACCAAAACAAACTCTTAAATAAGCGACATAAGCAAATACCCCCAAAAACGAAAACAATACAAAATGAAAATGAAAAGCAAGTAAAATAAATTAACCCAAACAAATAAATAAATAAACAAACAAGCCACTCCCTCAAAAAACAACCGCCTGAATAGATTACCCACAGTGCACCAGTGAACCATATATATAAATAACCGAGGAAATATCCAGCATTCCCGGCCTGACGATTGCGTCCGGCATGAAACCGTCTTGGATGACAATATAGAAAAATTCTATGAAACGCTTTGATATATATATATATATATATATATATATATATATATATATATATATATATATATACACGCACACTACCGATCAAAATTTTGCGACTATACTGAATTGTTTTCTAAAAAAACATAAAAAAATTATTTTTAGATATATAAATTCATCTATTGGATATATATGCAAACCCTTATATAAAATTCAATCAAAGCATTATAAATTTATTGGCATAGCCTTTGGAAATTTTGTTCCAACATGATGCACTTTCTAAACTGTAGAGCAGAAATTTACACATATTTCAACTCCACTGCTTGATAAAGGCTCAATTCCATTGAGATTAATGAGTGATTAAAATTAATTTTAAACCGTTAAAATGCCAAGAACTAAACAGATTCGTACTGCAAAAAGAGCCCAAGTGCCAATTCTTTCTATAGAAATGTATTACAGATATAAAAAATGCTATGCATTATTGTTTTCAGGGACAGGTAGAAATCGGCGCAAATGCCGACAGAAAAAGATTTGTGAGGACCAGAGCAACATCTATTCCGGAGGATAAACATTGGTCGTGTCTAGCAAAAAGAACAGAAGAAACCAACTCTCCAGCTACCTGCAGAATTTCATTCTACACGTCAACATGTTATGCCTGTTAAGAGAAGACTTCTTTCTGTTGTGTTTAAAGAATGTTTAACAGTTAAGTAACCTCTATTAAAAAAGGGCAATAAGTTGAAAAGACTAAAATGGACAAAATACCCCACAAGGATTGGAAAAATTCACTCCTTCCGAACAAATGAATGAAAATTGCATTGTGCCACCTGTTAAACATAGTGGTGTTGGTGTAATGGGGTTGTTTTGAAATTGAGATTTCTGGAGACTTTTTGTAGATTAAAAGCATTATGCGAATGGAAAGGTATCAGTCTATACTAGAGCGTCATGATATTCCTTCTAGCTACTGCATTATGAGACATCATTTTGTTATGCAACATAATAATAATCCTAAACACAGATTAAAACTGTGTACAAATGATCTAAAGTCAAAGAAAGAATTTTCCTTGTCCCCATCAGTCTCCAGATTTTTCACCAACTGAACTCGTCTGGGACGAAATTGAGCGTAAGCTTCGAAGGGAACTGCCTAAAAATAAGCAAGTGTTGTTTGCACACTGCTTGGGAATTAATTCAACCAACATACTTCTACAAGTTACTAGAAAGGATGCCTAAAATATATTACGTTTCATCTTTCAAAAGGACTTCGTCAAACTAACATAATATACTTATTGATTGAATCATATATATATATATATATATATATATATATATATATATATATATATATATATATATATATGGGAGAAGGATCTAAAATTCCACAGTAGACATGCGTACACGTTCATGCTACATACATATTTCAACATTTTTACAAATCTCCTGTCCTCACAGTGTGGAACATTTAAAAACGATAGTGAAAAAGTCAATCTATCTATCCTCTCTCTATCTGTGTGTGTATATATATATATATATATATATATATATATATATATATATATATATATATATATATATAAGGAGAGAGAGATGGATTAAACATATATTTTAGCATATTCTTAATATCAGAGAGCGTACGTAAATACTCAATCTTCAGGCCTGCAGACTGCGTTGAGACAGGCATTTTCTCCTTGGTGTTGATCTCAGTGCTCACTCTTATATATATATATATATATATATATATATATATATATATATATATATATATATATATATGTGTGTGTGTGTGTGTGTGTGTATAATCCCTTAATGCTTACCATATTATCATACTTTACAACCGAATCTAATAACACAAATAGGAAACTAGCGTTATTTCTGTTATTTCTGTCCGAGGAAAATGCCTTCCAAGTAGCAGCAGCTTGCTTCGAAATAAATTATTTATCTGATGAATTTGCCTCAGTAGATGATCGACTTTCGGTAACTGAAAAACAGACATATGCCCTGGCGTACTTAGAGGATATTCTTAAATCTGAGTTTTAAATTCGAGATGCCTATGCATTTATTTCCGATGATTTCTATAATTTTGACACCACTTGTAGGTACCCAATTGCCCGAGGCAACAACGTTTTCCCCTTATAGCCATATTAAAAACACATTTTGGCAAATATATTGAATTCTGTTTCTATGGCAACTACCAAACAAGGCATTAAATCCAGCCAGAAAGAATTCTAACAGAGAATATGTCGTTTAATAGGATCGGGTTTTCTGCACAAATCACAAAATGAATTGAATTAATATAAATTCAGAAACTAGAAATATATTTCAGTCTGGAATGTTTCATGAAAACCATAGATTCTTAAAAGACTGAAAATATTATTTCTTTACTGGGAAAGAAGCAAACTTGTAACATGGAATTCACCAGAATCAAGGCAATAAAGCCTTGATTCTGGTGAAATGCATCTGATAAAAGCATATAATAATGATAATAAATCATTATATGGTTTGATATTCAGACTAAAATCCTCACCTTTCTTTTTTATACTAGCAAATTCTTACACATGTCAAAGCCCTATGTTTTTATACCAGGGAAAGAAACCGACAAGGGTCACAAAAATGACAAGAACACATAATGGTAAGTATTATGCCATTTGAAATGTAATCAAATTGTGTGTAACGATGGAGTGGAATTTCTTTTCGAAAGTAGAAATATAAGGAAAATCTGCTTAGAAATTAAGTGAATAATGAAAGTAAATTTACCAGCCGTGATGAACGGATGAAAAACAAAAATTAAGATTAATGGAAAGAGTAAGGCCAAGGATATCTGGCAGATTGAAATAGGTCAACATGGATCAGAAAATAACAAGAATAATAATAATAATAAAAATAACAACATTAATCATTGACACCATAAATCTAATGCGTAGAGACGCGATAATTGAAAACAAAAGCCGACACGACGTCTACAGATATGTGAAGAGCGACACTTTCAACAGAAAAAAAATTAGATTGTTCAAAATACACTGGCTAATTTTGTTCCGATTCTATTAGCCAAACCCGAACATATAGAGACATATATATGTAAAAGAACAATATGAATAAAGAGAAAAGTAAACATTATCTTAGCCGGCGCGTTTATTAGATATTAAATTAGGTTGATTCGCATCCCATATAATTTACATAGACTTTTCAATTAACCTGATGAATATGCTTGATCGTCTCTTAAATTTAAAAATTTTGTAAAACTATCATTTTTACTTTTTGTTTATAATTCCTTGCCACAAAAGAAAATCTTCACATTTAGAGAACGAAACGCGTTGGCTAATATAAGTTTTCCTTTTGTCTTTATTTACACACAACACACTCACATGCACACACACACACACACACACACACACACACACATCTATTCAGCTTTTTTCATATATCTGTATATAGAAGTAGACGTTGAAGTCAATACACAGTGACGAGATGCTTAAACCCAATCTACTAATTTTCCTAAACGCAATAATATTATTCTAACGGTTACTGGTTGGTTATTAATTGTTTTAAATGTTTCAAATTCTTCTAGAGACTTTTGAGTAGAAAGAATTGGGGATCCAAATGCAGTTATTTGTAACTATTTCAATGTTGTTTGTGAGTGAAATTGAGTAGACAGAACCCTTGGTGGGGGCGTCGATGGCTGTGCGAGCAGGGAGTCATCGTGACCGAGGGTTTGAGAGTGCTGGTCTTGTACAGATTAAACGTTAGATAACTAGCTCACTCTGTTCATATCTAGCAAGCTAGCACACTCATATTCATATCTATTTATCCATCTCACTCTATTCATATCTATCTATCTATCTATCTATCTATCTATCTATCTATCTATCTATCTATCTATCTCACTTTATTCATATCTATCTCACTATTCATAGCTATTTCAGTGTTGTTTGTTAACATTTTATTCATTGTTTATTATAGAGTAATTTATTATTTGTTGTTGACGGTTATTATTACTTTTGCTGGTGTTTATGTGTGTATTCGTAGCTGGTTAATTTGTTTATTATTTACTTAATATGTTTACTCATATCTATCTATCTATCTATCTATCTATCTATCTATCTGTCTGCCTGCTTGTCTCAGGCCCTAGCTATTTCTTTTAAATTTTTATTTTTCTTCCTTTTTTCGCCACGTGGTGCCTTCAGGAGTATATAATCAGTCTATATTAGAAATATCATCTACACTAATATCATTTAGAGGTGGAAAACGTTCTTTTCCCTGTGGAAATAAGCCATATTTGTGCGGTGTATATTCTACTTTTGTGTGCTATGTCCCTTCATAACATAGGCGATCGTGGCCCTCCACCTCCTCCACTCCCTTGTAAAAAGTTTCATCTTTTTATTATTTCTACAAGACCATGTTCTGTTATCCAATTGCTTAAGCTTATTAAGTACGCCATGTGTTGCTTTCCCCTGTCCCTCTTGCTCTCTATCCGTCTTATGAGTATCATATTTTCCAAGCCATTCTTCTCCATTACGTGACGCTGAAAATTCAGTTGCCTCTTTCTGATGTTAAATATAAGTTTCCTTTTTCTTTCCATTCTCTTCAAAACCTCGTTGTTACTCACATGTTATGTTCAGTCCATTGTATCCTCAGTATCCTTCTGTAGAACCACATTTGTTTACTCGTATCTATCTCTCTACCTATCTATCTATCTATCTATCTATCTCTATCTATCTCTCTCTCTCTCTATATATATATATATATATATATATATATATATATATATATATAATTTTTTTTTACTCGTTAGAAATTATCATCTGCTGTCCTGTTGCCCCAGTCTTTAAGAACTTAGATGAATCGTCCCACCCTTCCAGCTATCAAGGACCTCTTTTGGTAAACTACTAGAGAACCTAATCAACGCTGAAATGATTTAAGCATATCGCAAGGCCTTCTTTCAGACAAGCAATATGGATTTTGCTTCTCTAGGTCAACTGCTGGTATACTAACTGTTATATACCTTACTTATGAACACTATTGGTTATGCCCCAGTCCCAATAAATACGTCGGGAAAACATGTCTAAGTAGTCCACGATTAGCAATGATTTACAAACTCACGCCGCAGGCGAGTATAGTATTTTGTTTTGGTTATTCCTCATTCAGTAACCTTTTCTAGATTACAACACTAGCGTATATCAAACTTTAAATAAAAGGACATCTTGAAAGTGTTTGACCGGTTTAGACATAACGGTGTTTATTGTATTTTTCGAACGAATTTTAGATCAGATTTAGTCTTTCTTATTAAATGGACACTCTTTTGGATCATTCTTTTAATAATGCAAGTCTCCCTCAGAACAACTTCTTCAAGGACCTTCTTCATGGCATCAGATCTTGATATCCTTCAGGGGGTCTCAAACGTTTACTCTTGTCTTGATAGTAAGTTAGATCAGTTTGATAAAATCAGTTTGGAAGGTTATCTAAAACAAATGATATTCAGTTTGTTGCTAACCGAGGCAAGACTTGGCATCTTAATATTAACGCCTCAAAAACAAAGCTTAATCATCTGAGAGACCCTTTTTCTGTCTCACATCAGCATAGTAGATGCTAAACTCCAAGATAGTGACTCGTTGCGCCTTCTCGGGTGAACAATCTCGGCTGACATGAAGTGTGAAGATTATATTGAATCCATTGTTCGGTCAGCAGCTTAGAAAGGTGGTTCACTTTGTCGTGCTAGACAATTTTTCCTTCTAGAATTATTTCACATATTTATAAATCTGCAATTTATCCATGCTTTGAATATTGCTGCCACATGTGTTTCGGTTCGGTTAGAGATTCTTGATAAAATCCTCATAAGAATCGGCAATATTATTAGTCCTGACCTGACACCACAACTTCAACCACTTTCCCACCGCCATAATGTACCTTTCTTGTACATTTGCTATAAATAATATCATGCTAACTGATTGTTTGGATTAACTCTTCATTATGGTACCTAGACTATGAATTTAAGCGCAGTGATATTTTGGGGAAAAGGTCTCATCAATTCACATTTGAAATGGCCAGATTTAACTGTAAGTTCTATGTTGAAAGTTTCTTTCTCGCACTTCTCCCTTGTGGAACGGTCTCCCGGTTCCATGCTTTCTTGATCTTGATCTTTGATCTTGAAAAATTTATTTGTCTTCCTCAAGCCTCTTCTATTGTTCTCGCTCCTTTTTTTTTTTCTCTTTTTTCTTATGCTTTTACGTTCAGCAACCCATTGTGTCTTCTTGGCTTTACTGCCTTGCATAGGATGATATGATTAAAAAATTTATATATATATATATATATATATATATATATATATATATATATATATATATATGTGTGTGTGTGTGTGTGTGTGTAACAGGCAGCCACTTTCTGGTTTCGTTGGATGTGATTAGGTATTTTTTTTTATGTCACCATTATTTTTCTTACGTACAATTTTGTCTTACATGCTAACCTGCAGATGTTCTCGGCAGAATGCTTTACTTATAGTATTTTTTTTTTTTTTTTGTATCCGTATGTATATTTTTTTTATTTCTAGTGGCGAGGGCATGCGCGCGGATCTATGGGTGTACAGTTTGAAAAAAATCTACAACTGTTTTATTCTGTTTTTTCTTTGTTTTTCTTGTTTAGCTGACAACCGCCTTTAGACACAGAAAAGAACTCTTAAGCACAAATTTACATTGAATGAAATGGCAAGCAAATCAAAGACACAAGTCTAATATTTTATCGATTCTATGAAGATTGTTCTCAAACGAGAAAATATTCAACGAACATACTGTTTGGCGGCGGAACATTAGCAATGAACCGTTATAGCTCAGGCCTTGTTTTATCTCTATCTTCTCTCTCTCTCTCTCTCTCTCTCTCTCTCTCTATCTATCTATCTACCTTCTTCTTTATGTGCAGCAATTTCTAAACATTCTATCACGTTCTCTAACCCTCTCTCTTTCTTTCTATCTCGTTTTCTTTTCAAACGGACATTCTTTTTTCGAATTTGAATGTCTTGGCTGAAACTGACTTTAGGTGTCTGAAATAGAGTATTTTACGTGATGGAATTAAAGACATTTTCTAAGCAGATCTAAAGAAGGAATTAATTGGAGTGTAAAAGAAAAAGAATATAATCACTGAAAAAATGAGAGCTTAAAAGTAGCGAAGCAACAATTTCTAAAACATCATTCTATCACGTTATCTAACCTTCTCTTTCTCTCTTTTCAATCGATCTTTATTTCTTACGTTCTCTATTTCTCACCGTCTTTTTTTCTCCGTTTCTCTCTCTCTCTCGTTCTCTCGATCACTATTTCTCTGTTTCTTTCTCTCCCTCTTTTGATTTCTCTTTTTCTCTATCGCATTTTTTCGCTTTCGATTGCTCTGTCGATATTTTCTCTCTGTCTCCCTCTCTCTTATTCTATGTTCTTATCTCTCGCTTTCCCTCTCTATCATTTTGACTGACTCTCTCTCTCTCTCTCTCTCTCTCTCTCTCTCTCTCTCTCTCTCTCTCTCTCTCTCTTTTTTTAACCTGTCTATATTTATGTACTTAAATATTTTCAGACAATTTAACAGGGAGAAAGCAATTCATGGTTCTCCACAATTTCCTGCCAATTTTAGTTCTTAATATTTTTTTTCTTTTTGCTTGTTGTCATTTAGACTTCATTGACTCAAGAGACTGGTAAACGCAACTGGTTTTTATGCCTATACCTTACACACATCTGAACACTTCTAATGCTGTTGAAAGCCACTTCACATTTATACACCGGTTCCCAGAGTTAAGCAAAGTTGATACTGATCAGTACTTACATGCGTAATGGCTTGAGAAAACCAGGTATTGTAAGTTTGGAAGTGCGGGTGGTGCAATGGATAATGGTTCAGAATTGTTAAGCAGAGGGCCGGGTTCTAATTCACATTGGGTTCGTATTATTCACTTACACGAAAATACTCATGATAAAGTTATAAATCCAACTATTCATCTTGAATTAATGGGTTAATTACTACGGCATTATTATCACCCAAAAACAAAATCATTCTTACAATCTAAAAATATTTCCTAGCTTTAAATAACCTGCAGATGTGTTGATAAGCCGTAAAAAAATTAATTAATCAATCAACTTCTTGTGATTTTTCGCTTCTTCGTCTTCTACTCACTTCGGGGTTTTGGCGATCATGGCTCTCCCCAATTCCCTGTCCTTTGTAGCTCTTAATAAATTTCGTCATTTGTTTATCTCTCATAAACCATGTAATTTACACCGCCATCCATTTACTCAAATTCACTAAGTATGTCTACGTTTTTTTCTTCTGCCCCTCTGGCCACTAAAATGTCCTGTGATTATTGGATTTTCCAATCACACTCTCCTCATTATGTGCTGTAGAAACTTCAACTTTATTTTCTTGGTGTTTAGTATAAGATTTTTTTGTTTCCATTTTATCAAAAACTTCATCGTTGCTCAAATAATCGGTCCATCTTTACACAGAACCACATTTCTGTTGTTTCAAACATTTTCTTCAATTTTGAGAATATTCTACATTATTCACTGCCACATAGGAAGATAGATATCACATAACTATTCAGTACTTCAATGAACTGATGTTGTATATGAGGTCATTTTTTCATTTGCAAAGTTTCTCCCTAATAATCTAATAACAACCATTCGAACAACTCAGGCAGTCGTTAAACAATTTCTACATTTTGGCACTGATTAAGTATATAACGCAAGAAAGAAAGCTTTTACAGAATTCCGAGAATTAAAAGCGGAAATAATATTCTTGATGAAACAAGTCCCATAATACTACCTAACAACTCAATAACGACTCCAACTGTAAAGAATTTATCTAAACTTAATTAAAATCCATATATATATATAGATATAGATATAGATCGGACCAGACTGACTATATATATATATATATATATATATATATATATATATATATATATATATATATATATATATCAGTCAGTCTGATCCGATATATATATATATATATATATAAACGGACTGAATGGTATATATATATATATATATATATATATATATATATATATATATATATATCAGTCTGTTCAGTTATATCTATGTATTTATCTATCTATCTATCTATATATATATATATATATATATATATATATATAGATATCAGTTTTGTTCACAATTATCTATCTTGCAACTGTATCAATCTTCGTGCAATCGATCGTTAGGATACAAACCCATTCTAATGAGTTTCATTCCCACTAGGTGTCTCATGACTGCGATATTATACAAAACAACGCTCTATATATAATTCTTGATATGACAATTTATAAACATTTGAATTGAAAAAATTTTTTAAAAATTATTATTTTTTTTACAAATAAACTTTCTTTATCAATACATTAGCTCAACAGAAAACTAATTTAATGGCTAAATATTTTGAGAAACGAAATGTGAATATTTAAATAATCATATAAAATAAATTCACAATTACACAAAAGTGATAAAGACAATGATACGTCTACTCACCAGACTTATCCACCCTTTAGAGCGAAGTAATACTGAATGAACTAGTCATCCTACCAGGATTTATTATAAGCGGACACAATGCTGACAACATAAGATATGTAGTTGACAGTGATTGCAGTGAAAGGAACAGCCCAAAAGTCGAACTTCGAAGTGGAGGTTCCAAAATCAGCAAGTGCAAAAAGTTTTTAAAAGAGGACCGAAGTTGTGACACCGAAATCTTAAGATAGCAAACGATGCCTTCCAAAAATCAAGCTAATTATAAAGAAACATAATACTTTCATTCAAAACAAAGAAAAATTGAAAAAAAAAATGAATTGTTATGCAATAACCATTTCACTCATATGGCAGTGAATGCTGTACAATCCTCTCACAAATGATGAAGCGACTTAAAGCAACAGAGTTGTGAATCCACAGAAGAATGCTGAGAATATCCTCAACTAAATCTGAAAGATGAGGTTTTTAAGGAAAACGCAAATAAACAAGAAGCTATAATTTAGGACCAGAAATAAACAATTGAAATTACTATAATGCATAATGAAAAAAGAGGACTTGGAGAATTTGACACTCAGGGGAAATATTGACAGCAAAAGACACTAAAGAAAACAACGAGAAGCTTACTGAGTGTGAAAGAATTTGTGTAAAAAAGAAAAAAAAGTTTTTAAGGAAAAATAGGACAGAAATAAAGAAAACGGAAGATAACGATTGATATTACATTTAAATTTCTGAAGATTAAATTGACTGGGAAACAAGAAACCTGAAGATAGTTCCACAGTACGTACTTCAGGTTTAATGTCATTAAATTTGTGTTGATTAGATCTCTTATTGTTTTTGAAGTCGTTGGAACAAATTTAATTTTAAGACATGATAATCTCTTTTCAAGTGCATCCATTATATAGTTGGTAGGTGGAATTCTGCGCGCAGTTTTATCGATATTGTGTTACTTTCTTTTATGTTTTATGGATTTTGTAAGCTTTTCTCTTCACTTTATATTTAAAATAATTCAGTTATTGGAAGCGTTTAAAAAACTTTGTATTTTTCTTCACCGTATAAATATTGAAGGATACAAAATCTAATTGCTATTAAGAGGAAAGCCTACGATCTTTCTGAACTTGATTTTATCGTTATGGTGTGTGTCGAAGTTTATGAAATCATTTTATATTAGATATTTCTATAGATTCTTATCAGAACGGTCACAGACAATATCAAGGAAAGATGATGCATTTTGGGCTTTCTGTTTCATAAGTAAATTCAATTGTATGTTCGATGTTGTGTATCTTATTTGCAATATAATATTATATCGTTTTACGGAAGCTATTTTTACAATGACGTTCACTCTGTATAAGGCACAAAATTTGCTCGAAGTCGAGGGTTACAGAGTAAAAGACACTGTTTCCGTGAGCAAGGCTGACGCTAACCATTAGAAGTGCCACCTGTTTCGTCTTATCGTGCTAACGTTTCCTGCTTATATGAAGTAGAAAGATGATACTGAATCAATTTCTAATTTTCCTGCTTTTCGGCGAAATTTTACAGAGTTATATGTCTAGCATTCGGCCATGCTTTTAATATTGTAGTCATATCTGGTCTGCTTACCCTACTAATTATTCAGAAATCCTTGATAAAATACAAAGAAGAATTTGCAATGTCATTAGCTGGCATCTCGACTACAGTCAACTTCCCACCTCTGTAATGTTGCTTTCTTGTGCCCTTTCTATAAATAATTTCATGGTAATTTATCTTATGAACGTCCCTCTAGAGAAACCTAGACTATGAATTTAGCGCAGTAATAGATTGGTGGCAAGATGTCATCATTTTACAGTTGAAATGGTTAGATGTAAGCGTAATTTTTATGATAAAAGTTTACTTTCCCGTACTAATCGCTTGTGGAAGAATCTCCCGGCTACTTGCTTTCGAGACAAGTTTGATCTTCAAATATTTCATTTTTATTTTATACTACATTATTTAGTTTCAGACTTTGACAAAAATAAGAATAGTGATATATTGAAGGAAAAAGAGACAAAGAAAAACAACGCATAACCTACCAAGAGAGCTTGAGTAAATAGATGAGAGTGCAGAGATTAGGGGAGATGAGAAAAAGACAAAATTTATTAAGAGCTGCAAAGGAGAGCCATGATCGCCTAGGCCCTGAATGGAAATGGTACATAAAGAAGAAGATCTATTAGGGCAGATTGAAGGCAAAAGGGATAGAGGGAAACAACGCATAACCTACTTAGTGAGCTTGAGTAAATGGATGTCGGAACAAGGTTTAGGAGAGATAACAAAAAGACATAATTTATTAAGAGCTACAAAGGAGAAGAAATTGTGGAGAGTCGTAATCACCAACGGTCTGAAGGAACATGGCATTTAGAAGTAAAAGTAGAAGAAAAAGAAATAGAAGAAGTACATAATGTTATCTTATTTTTATTATTTCTTTATTTTTTTGATAATGAAGAAATATGAAATGATTTCTTCAGAATTCAGCAAAACATGAACTAGAAACTTATGGTAATTTTTATGATGTGATTTTTCAGTCTCTCGTAGTAATAGATATAAGTTTTCAGCGCTAATTCATATTATATCCAAAGATGACTTGAGCTCTATTCTGCGTTGGCAGTTTATAGCGAACCCACCTTCCCTATGATGATTTCTGTCTAAATTACTTCAGCTGTGCTTTAATGCTGCAGTGTTGATTTCCCACTGATGTGTGGTTGTTTGATTTGCACCTCACTCAGCATTTGCTTTCAAAATAGATTTGTCTTTCAGAGATAGCCGATCAGAAAAAAAAAAAACTATTTGCTGTAATATTAACTTGGTTTTTGTATTAGCAGAAACATTAGCAAATATTATTAATTTCTGTTGTAAAACGACTTTGACAAGCTTGCTGTGTTATTAATGAATGCCGACTCTAATGGTTTCTTTAGTATTCACTAATAAATAATGGACGCTATCTGTCATGTTCCG